CAAAGGCTTTTGGAAGTCAACAAAACAGGCATATACCTTTATTTTCTTAATGTTTAATTCTTGATCAATTAAAGTCTGCAGGGTGAATATATGGTCTGTTGTGCGGCAATTTGGCAAAAAAAACTATTTGGCATTTATGCAGAATATTGTGGTCATCAAGAAAGTTGACAAGTTGTTTATTAATGATGATGCAGAATATTTTTCCCAGGTTACTGGATACACATATTCCTCTGTAGTTATTTGGGTCATATTTATCTCCGGATTTATGAATTGGGGTTATTAAACCTTTGTTCCAGATGTCTGGAAAAGTTCCAGTTGCTAAAATGGTATTGAATAGTTTTAGCCAATCTGATTTTATGGTCTGATTATTTGATCATTTCGTTGAATTCCATCAATATCACAAGCCTTCTTTCCTTTCAGGGACTGGATGACTTCTGTTAATTCTTGTTTTTGATACCGGGTAATTTAGAGGGTTTTGGTTGCTTTTTTTTTATCACCGCCTCCAGAGATTTCCATTTTGTGAATATCCTGTACTGATCATCATTTTTTGAAATATTACTGTATAATTTACTAAAGTGATTAATCCAAGTATTTCCATCTTGGATCGCCAATTCAGTTTGTTTAGGTTGTTCCATTTCTCCCAGAACTGATTAGACTCTAAGGATTCCTCAATTTCACAGAGCTGGTTCTTGCTGTGTTGTTCGTTCTTAGTTTTTAGGGTGTACTTGTATTGTTTCAGAGTGGCCTCATATTGACAGCGTATGTTGTGGTTATCTGGGTCCCTGTGCTTTTCATTTGATAATTTCCTTATTTACAACTTATTTGAAGTTTTCCTTAGGTTTTTGCATTCAGTGTCAAAACATTTGTTACTGTTCATTTGTTGAGGTTTTGGTTTGGAGGCTTTCAAATTAGACAAAGCCAAATTATGAAATATTGAATTGATTTTGTCCACAGCAGGATTTGGACTAGAATTATTCTGGGGAAATGTTTCAGTTAGAAATAAGAGTTAAATCATTAATGTTTTGATTTTCCAGTGCCTTTTGGTACGCCCCCATGCTGTCTGGGCTTCATCTGTATGAGTATGTGCTGTTAAACAGTTCACGGGCACTAGGGGCCCCAGACTTAGACTGAGCCCTTTTCAGATAATCCTTTTCAGATTTTGCTGTGGTCTGAGCTGGGTGTGAGGGGGCTGTGAAAGCTCTGAGACATTACATCTCGATCTTTAATGAAATAATCTACCGTACTACTGCCTAGAGCTGAGCTGTAAGTGTAGCGACCCAGAGAGTCCCCTCATAGCCTGCTGTTGACTATGTACAGAGGTACATAGTCAAATACGGTATATATAAGTACGGCAGAGCTGTAAAAGCTGCATACCGCTTGTATTAGTAAGCTTGTCAAAGCTCTTTCTAGCAGGACATTCAGGGATGGGGAAGCAGGTGCTTCTAGGTAAGTGTTTGTCTCCCTGGGTGTTCATAGTGTCGCCCTTTCCCCTGTTCGAGCGTTCAAATCTCCACAGAGTAATACATTTCCCATGGTTTTATAATGGTTAACTTCCTCCTCAAGAATAGAGAAAATATATGGGTTGTAGTAGGGGGATTCTGATGGAGGTATATAGATGGCACACATGTAGACATGTTGCTTAACACAAATCTGTTTGTTAATTTTCAACCATATATAAGATTCTTCTTTTTTTAATAACTGTGATGGACTGGCTCAGTTCTGATTTACACCATATAATCATGCCTGCTGAATCTCTGCCTTGGGTTATTGTGGGATATTTTGTTGATTGTATAATAATCTCAGTGCAGCCGTCAGGACGACCAGTGGAAACATCTTCTCTGCACCATGTCTCCTGTAAAACTATGATGTAAGTCTTTTAACTCTGAGTCTGAATTTCTGCTCATCAAACCAAAAGCTGATGATCTCAGACCTTGAATGTTCCAACATGTTGTTGTAAACAATTTCATCTCAAAGTGTAATCCGTTCAAAAATTAGACAAACACCTTTAAAAAAATAATACTAATAATAAACTGGATATTAAAAAATACTAGTAACAAACGAAAAGAAAAGTGTAAAAAGAGGAAAATAGTATTGTAGATAAATGAATAAAATATTAAACTTTGCGTGACATTTTAGAGTGTTTCATGTGTGAAATACTGTTAAGGATTGTCCTTAAATTACTATTCGTTTAAAATGATATCCAACATGCTAAACTATGAATTATGTCTTTAAGAGGTCTCTGCTCTTCCATCATGTAGCTATATGAGGCGAGAGCAGAGCAGGTTTAGCATGTGTAATATGTCTTTGAATTCACCAGAGGGGGGGCAGGGCTGTGGCTCGCCTCACCGCTGCAGCATAGTTCAGTCCAATAGGCTGTCCTCTCTGATGCATGGTGGAGGTCTGGATGGTCTTGAAGGTCTAAGAGGTCCTGGAGGTCTGCGTTGTGTGGTTACCCCTTGGAGTGGTAGTGAGGCTCCTTCCAAGAGCAACATCCTTCAGGGTCCTAGCAAGGGTGGGGACTGCATTTCTGTGTAGGTGTGTTATCATACAGGCAGTCCAAGTGGAGGGTCGGATGGTGGGCCAAGAACACGTTGGGTTTGAGGGCATAGTTCCTGGAGAGGCTTTAATTCACTCTGTGAATGGTGTCGGGGTGGAAGTCTCTCCTGTGCAGCAGCGTAGATGACTATCTTGCTGGTAGGGAAATTGGTGGAAGCTTGTTCAGTGACTCTCCCCAGGGATTCTGCTAGTCTGTCCTGTTGGGACCTTAAGTCGTCGGTGCCTGTATGAATAATGATGTGGCTAGGTAAGCCTAGCTCAGGCACTGTTAACAGCTCCAGGGCTCTCCTGGTATTGGGGCACCAGATCTTCTCTGTCTTTGGAATAAGGTCTTTTCATCCAGGAACTTTCTGTTAGAGTCCATGAGGAGGATAATGTCAGCCCTTCTGCCTGTGTGTGTTTGTTCAGACTCAGCTGTCGGGTCTGGATGTGGAGCTGTGGTGGTGGTTTCAGGTCTGGAGCTCCTGGCTGGAGGCTGGCTAGAGGCTGGGCCTTGGACGGGTACAAGGTTGTGACTGGCATCTTGGCTTGGGATGTGTATTGAGGCAGCTTAATGGTACAGGGGGAGGATTAGAGTCTGCACCAGGCTGGGTGAGAGGGGGAGGGGTCTTCGAGGATGGATGTGGTCTGGATCTGAGAGGCGAGCACAGGGGGTTGTGTGGAGTTCAGTCTGGCTTGTAGACTTAGCCTGTCCCTGTCCGGTAGCTCTTCTCTCAGTATAGCCAACTCAGTTCTGCAGTTGTCTCTGTCCTTCCTAAGTTCCTTCACCTCCTCACTGAGATGATCCAGCTGTCTTCTCTGAGCTAGTTCTTGTTGAAACTCTCTCAGCTGTGAGTTGACATTGTCCTGTTCTTTCTTGGCCTGGAAGTCACTGACAGTAGGAGAAGTAGGCTGCTGTTGGTCCAGCTGCTCTCTGATCTGTACCAGGTCTATATCCATCTGGGAGAAGTATTCTCTCGTCCAGGTCCTCAAAGTGCTGTACCAGGGGATGATCCGTGTCAGCGTCTGTCAGGAGTAGGGACAGAACAGGACCTCCTCAGTCTCATAGCAGGAAAGTCTAGCTCAGACTGTCTCAGGTTACCTTGTATCATGGCAGTTCCATTTTTGAATAGGTTTATTCTGCTGGTGTCAGAAATTTTCTTCCAGTACACATATTTTCCATCCATTACAAATGCCTGCTCTCTTTATTGCTGGGTAATGAGAGCTGAACACATTCAGCCAGGCATATGGTTCATCAGTCCAGAAGATTAAATTGCAGGACCTTCCATCTTTGTAGTGGTCCAGGAAAAGGATTTCTGGTATTTCTCGAAGTATTGTTTGTTTATATTTTTCTCTTGCAGTTTTGCTTTTGATAGGTGGGGTGTAGTCAATGGTTTCAGAGTGTGTAAACATCATGAAACAGTTGTTGATCTTCAAGCTTCTGTGTTTAAAACAGCACTACTGCTGTTATTGATGCCATTGCTAGGTAACCACAGTCCAGTGTTAGCTTGTTAGCTATTAGCTTGAGTGTTGCAGTAGTAATAAATGCAAAAACCAGTAGTTTGCTGTTACTTGCTTGAGTCCCTCTATCCTCTTCTTCGTTTGTTTTTGTTCTCTCCTTGTTTGTTTCTCTTCAGTTTGATGCTCTGTTTTCTGAGCTCCTTCTTCAAACTGTATCTCTTTTCCTTTTTTCTCTTTCTTCATCCTTCTTACTATTTTTTTTTTCTCCTGGTGTATTGTGGTCACTACTTTTTCATTTTCCTCCATTAAAAAGTCGGTGTTTATCCAATTTTTGGACCGAAAACAAGTGTTTTGTTTAGCAGCAAGCCTTAAACATGACTTATCACCAACAACGGAATTCTCTCTCAACCAAATAACAATCACCAAATAATAAAGTATTGATAGTGGTATTGTTAAAGGATCCTTAAGCAGTTTCAAGAAGGCGTGTCAGGAGGACGATGTCTGGCTGCTCTGCTACCTCAACCCCTCCATCTACACCGACACACACAGAGATCCATATCTGAAGCGTTTAGCTGCTCAACGTGATCGTAGCTGTCACTAGCTAATCAGGACTCACCTCTGTAGAACCTTTAGTCTGGTTCTGATCCCAGTTGTGTTCAGTAAGCAGGTCTCTCTGATGTGTCACATGATGATGGGAAGCCTTGTGATGTTCAGGAAGGACTCTGTGCTCAACATCAGTGAGACCCTCTGAGGACACCTGTCCTCACGTCTTCCACCTGTTCTTGTGTCATCATCTTCATGTGTCCACCTGTCCTCGCGTCTTCTTCTTTATATGTCCACAGTTTAGTCTCTAGACTGCGAGACCTTCGAGCAGTACAGCACCTGGCAGCTGTTCCTGGCTCACAGCATCCCTCTGGACACCAGCATCCCCATGACAGGAACACACCTGGACACTTGACTTAGAGACTCCTGGGTCCCCATTAACGTCTCTCTGTGTGTCCCAGTTACAGTGAGGACATGGACGTGGTGAAAATGGTCCTGAGTTGTCCCTGTCACCCCGAGGACCAGTTCACCACCAGCATCCTGAGACACTGGGCATCCAATCACGACAACATGCTGGAGAACACATCAAGGCCCAGCTGATCAAGAACAACAATCAGCCCCGCAAGAGAGAGCAATAGACAGGTGAGGACAGACAGCGATGGATAAGTGAGGACAGAGGTGAGGACAGTCTCTGGGTACCTGTTGAACAGTGGTTGTGTCTCTGTCTTCAGTTCCAGCAGTAAACTGGCTCAGCTCATCCTGGAACAGATCCTGGAGCTCAGGGACAACCTGACGCTGAGCCTGAGCAACACCAAGAACAGGTGTCGGTACACACACAGGCTTATTGATAACTGATTGATTGCGTCTGTCTCTGCCAGTCTTCACTCAGACCCCAATCCTTCAGGCTCTGCAGCACGTTCAGGCCTAAACACCTCTTTTCTCTCAGCTGGACAGGTAGGCTGGAATAAAATACAGCTGCTTGTTATTTTCTATAAATTGAACTAAATATGTTCTGTTGGCTTCCTGCTCAGGTTCCAGTCTGAAGGGGAGATGTTTGTTAACCTGCTTCACTTGTCCAGACGTTTAGGAACAGCGTTTGTTGGTGTGGAGAAGCTGAAGCATTGACCTGACACACGACACCGTACTTTTACTGCCAGAATATTGTCCTCCTCTGAGATTCACCGTCACTTGCTGTCACTTCATATCAAACACTGAGACATCCAGATTAAAGGAGCTGCTCTGATAGAAGCACCTGTCAGATAGATGTCCTGCAGGGTTTCCGCTGGGTCTTAAAGTCTAAAAATAAAAAATTGAAGGCCTTAAAAAGTCTTACATTTGCTGAAGTATGAGTTTTAGGTAGGAGGTAGCGTTAAACATCCATTTAACGCTACCTCTAATGCTCATTGAAATGGCCCCGCAGCGCTCAAGAATGTCTTTTCCCCTTGTGGTGGTGTATTTCTTTTTGTCGATAGTCCACATCGGTCCAAATATAATTCGCTGTATTACGACTACAAAGACTAACAGGCAGCTTTTGTGTTATTGCCGCAAGTCTCTCGGATTGTACCACAGATATAAAACTGATTCGGACCTATTCTTCAGCAATGGGGAAGTGCAACCTTATTGGTTCTTCGATGAAAAAACGGATCTTAGGGCTTAAAACCATAGTGTTGCTGCTTAATGAATGAACGCCGCTATTGAAATTTCACACGAACATTAATGATTTTCAGTAAACTACGGTAACACTCAACGCATGGCTGTCTTCCTCTCCTCGTTCTTTTAAGGACTAGCGAATGTGAGAGAGCTGCAGAAAGTTAAAGTTAGCGGAGGATAACATCAGCATCAAGTTGTTATGTTAAAACTCTGTCCTTTACATCTCAATAGTTAAATTAAAAAAGGACAGCGTTGACCACGGAGGAGCTGAGGTTAGTAACGTTAAAGTAAATTAGGGATGCAAACTAACGATAGTCCTTTTAAGCTAATGAGGAGATTATTCTTCTGGATTTTGATGTACAAATGAAACGCTTGTAGTAATACAGACGGGTGGTTCTCATGTTGCCTATGATGTTAATTTCTACAAATGTATAAAACAGTAGGCTAAATTAAGACACAAAAGGCAAACATGAACTGTCCTATCTGTAATGATTCTGAGGTCATGTGTGAGGCTCAAAACTGCTTGGTGCTGCACAATGAATGTAAAATCACTGTGGAGAGCATCAAAACTAACCAAATGAATTTTCCCAGATCTAAGGGTTTTAATTCAACCCCAGTAGTCTTATTTAGTAAGTTCAGGTTTTGGTGTGTAGTTTATTGTCTGCTCCCCTGAATTTATCCACTAGCAGTAGGTTAAGTTTTCTAAAGTCGCCAAAAAGACACAGAACTCACCAATTTTGTAGACATCACTCAATCCTAATTTGAATACAGTGATTTACTCCAAGAAATTTTGTGACTGCATTTCCTTTATGAGTTTCTTTTTTTATATATATATATGATCATAATGGTCTTAAAAAAGGTCTTAAATTTGACCAGGTGAAACCTGCAGAAACCTTGATATTGTTCCATTACCTCGTCTACCTGACTTAACAATTTGCATAATGGGGAACTTATTTTAAGCTATCTTTATTGGTTTATGATTCCATAAAACGCCACATTTAAAGCTCCCTTTTATATTATTTAAGTAAAAGTGCTGCTGATGGTATAAAATTATGCATCGTCGCTTTTTACAGTAAAGAAAGTAGTAAAAGGAAATTTTTATTTAGCTCAAGAGATTCAAGTTATTATCACGTAACACAAACAAATCTCATGAAGAATCTGGAAATGGAGACTGTTCAACATTATTGCAAAAAAGAATGAAAACAAATTGATTATTAACATTGTTGCTGGTTAATTATTTGACCAAGCAGTCAATTACTTTGTCTATTCAGCTTTATGGAAGCTGTGCCTTATTTTGTGTCTGTTAAATGTAGAAATGACAGATGTTTAAGCTTTTGATACTAATAAAGGGAACTTGAATTCACATCATCCAAAGAACTTTTTAAAACCAACACTCCTTATTTGGTGATTTTCATGTTTCTTTACTTGAACACAATTTTGTAATAATGGAGTTGTATTTGTATTTTTGAGGACTACCATCTGAAAATGGGCATTTTGTAAATTTTAAGTAAGTTTCCATCAGTATTTGAGTCTAGCACAATTAATTTTTTTTGAGTAGATTTCTCTCAGATTATAAATTGTGCATAATTACATTTGAGTAAAGAATTGGTGGAATTTAATTTTAATCATCAGTGAATCTATGTAATTTAGTATGTGGAAATTAAATGTTTTAAAAAATATATTTTAAGTCAAGGTTTCCTGAAATATTACCACTAGTATAAACATTTGAGGTAATCAGTTTCCACAAATATTACTTATTCGGGTTTACAGTATAGTCACTGGAGGCAGGAGCCAAAAACAAAAACCATGGCCCTAACACAAACCATACCCAGTTAAGGTCAGACTAAATTGATTATTTCAAGACATTCCTTCTTTGGCAAGATGAGGTATTACAAAAGGTTTTGTACGAATCTGCCAATGTACAACGGCAAAACGTTTGCATGATGTCTAAAAATCTGATATAGGCCTACTGATATACAGTAATACGAATTTACTCTCCCTACAGGCCTAAAAGTAGATATCCTCAGGTAGAATGGCCAATTTATAAAACAATTGTCTTTGCCAACACAATCACTTATCACTTTATCACTACTTAAGTGTGATGTACGACACAAGTGTGGTGCATTTTATGCTAATTTTTTAGTGAAAACAACTATTTTTTATCATTTATCTTCATATTGGTTATTAAATCCTTACAGCATCTGCTAAAACCTACTGTGTATATAAACAAATATGTGTATAAGGATAACAATATAAGAATGCTAACTGAAATATCCTACATAAAACAAAAATTGGTCGGCAGTGTTTTCAAACTTCTCCGTTTTAGGTCTTCTTTTTTTGGCGTTTTAGTCTGGACGGGAGGTGCAAATGAAGCAAAAGGTCTCAGTTTTAAAACAAATGCAGTAGTGTGGATGGGGCCTCATTGTGTTTTCAAGCAAAAGTCAACAGGCATTCTGCTGAGACAGTCGGGTCATTTCAAGTAGGTGGTGCACCAGATAATTAACATCTCTCTTTCTGTCAGACATCACCAAGAATCTTTCCTTCAACAGAGAATTTCAAACAGCTGGCGGCTGTTCTGGAAATTGTCATTTCTCCCAAACTATCCACAGAAATCTGCTAATTTTGAGTTTGGGTGGCCAAAAGTAGGCTTTTCCAATTGAGAATATTTGCTCATTTTAGTCCTTAAACTTATTTTAAAAGTAGATGGCATGATTCAGAAGCTCCAAAAGGTGGCATGTCATGACCGGTAATGGCTGACTTCCATTTAGCTGCTTTGGTTTCAGGGTCCTATTGGACCTTCTAGTTCACTGTCATAATTATGGGACACTTGAATATAATGAGGCCATCATTACTGTTATTCGCAACACGTTTGTCCTACAATGACCAGTCAAATTGCCTGCTTTGACAAAGGTCTGTTCATTTTCACTGGGTGTTTTCCAGCACTGAATCTAATAAAAAAAAAAAGGCCTGTGAAATAAAGTGTTTTGCCAGGATAGACAATGAAGGAACACAGATTTATTTATGGTCTACAGGGTGTATTTTATTTCATTTAAATGGAAAAGAAAGGACAATTAGTGCAACGCTAAAAGGGTCGAGCCAAGTGCTTTTAAGAGGCATACTGGGCAGAGGATTACCAGGTGTCATCTTGTCTGTTTTAACTGTTGATACTGTATAGGAAAATACTGGAATGATCTATTATTTCAGCATCTTGACCTCCATCTCAGCCAAAGGTAGTGTTGTTCCAGGCCACATTGGCTGCATCCATGTCTACAAAGTTAATATAAATCCTGAAATAGACACAAAGAGAAATAGGTTAATGACACTGCACATGAACAGCATGAGAGATACAAGGGAATCGAGTTTGTGTTTGTCACCACGTTACCTTAACTTATCAAATTATGTGAGGTAAATACTGGTTGCTGTGTGTGTGTTTGCTACCTGTCAGGAGAGATGCCCAGGTGTTTGTTGAGCAGTCCACACAGGAGTTTAGAGTATTTGCTTTGAGCACCACTGATCTTGCCAATACTGGTTAAGGAGCAGAGAGCGCAGGGGTCCCCCTTCCCTCCAAACATCATCATCTGGTCAGGGTTGATGTGCACAGCAATGTACTGGTATTTGCAAGACAGTCACAAAACATGATGTCAGCCCACACCGGGTGGAACAATCACATCTAGTAGTTTTTGAAGATCTTAGCCTAAATGAGCCTACACATGACATTGTAGTTTCAGCATCATAAAGGCCGGCACATATTAAATATGTGGACTACAGTGATGGCTGTAGTGAGGATTTTTGAAATAGTGATGTCATGAATCCAACTCCTCTCCAACTCCACCACGAAGAAATACAAGTCATCAAAAAATACCTTTGTCTAATTATTTGAAGATTATTTTCTTGTTCTATTAATTAATTTGATTATTTAATTTAAATTACATGCATAATGGTCTAAATGCTGTTTAATATTTTGGTGGAATAATATATTAAAAGATATTTAGTCTAACAAATTGATTATTAAAACCCCCCAAATTTTCAGAAACAATACGCTCAGTGGTAGAAGCTACACCTTACTACAATTAAACCCATATTTTGAATGAGCTGTGCAGTCTAGTTCCTTTTATGTTGAATATTCATGTATATGGTAGTTAAAGCTATGTCTATTCATGTTAAAAGTGACAAACAGATCTCAAATACAAATTTGGCTGAGAAATAATATTCAGTATCAGTTTATATGACTTGATAGAAGATTTGCTTTTACCTTTTTGGGTTTAGTGAACTCACGCCGCTGATTAATCATTTACCCATGCTTACTCTAAATATAACTGTCCAGACTATGTTTGCATACATCTAACCTTATTCATTCAGTGGAGAGACATATAATCTCTACTTTTAGCTGCAATTCAATGGAAATCAGGCTGAAGGCGGAACTAGGTAATAAGCATAGATGCTGTAGGAAGCACGACCCTGGCCTACCTGTGCAGGTTTGCCCATAGCTTTGGCCAGCTCCTCAGTGGCCTCGGACAGAAGAGCCGCAGGCACATCGTTTTTCACCACGTTGGTGTTCACCACAAACATCGGCATGATTGCGCCTCTTTAGTGCTTATCTTACCTCTTACCTCTTCCCTTCACAAACTGACACTGCCCACAGGCGGAAGAACAGTCGAGACTTCTCTTCCTCTCTTGTGAGAGTGTGCAATCATTTGACAAAAAGACCACAGCGCCTCCATCCATCCTGGAGGATGCTTTACACACGCTAAACAAAACGCCAATCAAGTACAAGTTATGTATTTTTACGTTATTATTTCCCTGTTTCCTTAAAATAATGATCACCACCCACTGTTGAGATCACATTAACTACAAAGTGATGAAAAATCCCGAGTTTAGTATTTTGTTTTTTTCCCAGGGTGCAGCTTTTCCTGAGTGTAGCGTAATTACGGTACTGGGCATGCGCAGTGTTCTCAAGCAAGCATCACTAAGCAGTGCTGAAGGAGGCGAGAAGGAAAACAGTGGCAGGGAGAGAGAGGGCAGAAGTTGGATGGCGCTTTCCTTTGTCGTCGTGTCTCTGTTCTTATGAACAACGAGCCAGCTGATCCGCGATCCGCGAAATCACACCGTCTGTCGCCGATTCACGTCTGAGTTATTGCTCCGGGTTTCATCCAACAAACGGTGCGTATACAAAGCTAAATTAGCCAGGCTGCTAGCACGATCACTTTCCACCGCTGCTGCGGAGGGGCTGCTGCTCCTTTTTTACTTTAACTGTGTGTCGATCAGTAGTACAAGTTATTACAACAAGCTAACCTGACGCAGTGTATGGTGTTTACTGACAATACTGCCGTTGTACTTTCTGAACACACGGGCTGTATAGTCTTTAATTATATAGTAATAGATGGAATAATCATAATATTGGTGTGTGGGCTCACATTAATGTAGATATTATAAGTATTGTGTAGCTGCTAGATAGCAGCGACAAATAAAGTTATTATTTGTGACTGAAATTTGCGATTTGTATACGATTTGTTATATAGGCTAAAGTATGAACGACTGAAACAGTGTGAAACTTTTGCGACCTCAGTGGGAAAACTGTGTCATCTAACTAATTGATGATCATGACCCTCAGCTCCGCTCCCGTCCGAACCTGCGGCCACGATGATGGAGGAATCGGTGTCCACCTTTGAGACGCATCTGACGGCTGTCATGGACAGTCTGATCCGAGCCTCGGTCTGCGAGATCACCAAACTCTTTCAGGAGACGGTGAACGACTACCTGGTGGAGCTGTCCCTCAACAGGAGGGAGAACGAGGCCCTCAAACTGAGGCTGAGGCTCACCGAGAGCAAGCTGAGAACCGAGCGCATGTACGGGCTAGGCTGGGCTGCCAACCGCCGCAACGCCGGACTGGCGGCGGATGAAGGAGCAGGAGGAGGGCGGCTGAAACGAAAAGTTGAGGTGACCCGTAAGTATTTCGGATGGCTTGAGGATGGCATTTTCTCCTCAAAACAAGCAGGCTTACGTCATGGATCGCGTTTAAAGCGGTCTTTACGTTGCTAAAAACAGCTCCCATATTTCAGCATTATTGTGTTTTTTTTACTGTGAGAAACAGGGCTCTTGCATGCGGCCAGGGCTTATGTGAAGACGCACTTGTTTTGTTGGAAACCATCTGGCAAGAGCTGATCTCTCCCTCCCTCCTTCCTCTCTCCCTTCCTCCTCCGCCTCCTCTTCATGTTCTCTCCCTCTGTCCTTCACCTCCCCCTCTCCTCTCTCTCTCTCTGTCTCTCTCCCTGCTGCATTCTGTCCCTCCCACTCCTCTGTGCTTTTGCACACTCTCTGTCTCCCTCCCTCCCTCCCTTCCTGCTGTGCTCCTTTCCCTCCCCCCCACCTCCTTCACTTCTCTCTGTATCTCTCCAACTCTACCTCCTCCCCTTCCCGCTCCTCTTTCCTTCACGCCCTCTCCTCTCTCCCCTCCCCCACCTCCTCCGCCTCCTCTCCCGCTCCTCTCCACCACCACCATAATTACACACTTCCTCTCCACTTCCACTTCTCCTCTGTCTGTCTCTGTCATTCCTCTTTTTACCCTATCACTCCTTCAACATGTCCTCCCTCTCCTCATCTCTCCTGTGGCCCCTGCCAACTCCACTTCTCCCTCTCCTCTCTGCCTCTCTTGGTTTACTCCTTCCTTTCACATGTTTTTCTCTCCTTCCCGCTCTCTCGTCTGTCCTTCTACGCCCCCCTGTCCTCACTCGTTCATCATGCTCACTCCTCCTCCCCCTTCTCCCTTTCCTCACTCTCTTCCACCCTCAACCTCCCCATACTCTTGTTCCTGTCTGCCCTCCAATCCCCTCCTCCACCTCATCTCCCACTTCTCCTCCCTCTTCTCTCCTTCATCTCTCTCTGTTGGCCTCCTCTCCCCCTCATATTTCATTCTCCCGTCTCCCCGTGCCCTCCCTCTCCTACACCCCTGCTCACTTTCTCCTCCCTCCCACCTCCCTCCTTCCCTTCCTTGTCTTTCTCTCTTCTCCACAGGAGGCAAGTCAAAGAAGGGCCCGGCGGCAGCCTATGGCAAAGGCTGGCCTGGAGGTGTGTGGGAGGAAGGAGGAGGTGGTGGCGGTGGGGGAGGAAGTGGAGGAGCTGTGGGGATGGTAGCAGGAGCAGGAGGACGAGGGGGAAAGGAGGCCAGGGAGATGTACCTCATCCAGTTCCCCCGAGATGAAGAGGATGAGGGAGGGATGGCGGAGGACGAGGAAGGGGAGGGCAGCCTCAGCGGTGAGGGGGAGGAGACGGCCAACATCAAAGAGGAGGTGAGGGAGATGGGCTTTTCTCAGAGGAGGAGGAGGAGTAGGAGGAGAAAGTGGCACAGCATCTCTGCACTGCTCAGCAGCTTCATTTAGAATAAAAAAACAATGTTGAGAGAAAATCAAAGAAATAATACAGAGAGAGTTTTGCTGGTGTTCTTCAGCCATCAAATCACTGATTTCAGATGTAGTGCATAAAGGGAAGGCTATTGATTTGATATTTAGCTTCCAGAGGAGCCCGTTGAGTAGGGCTCTTCACATCTCAAGTGCAGCAAGCTTTTAGGTACTTTTAGCTACTACTAGTAGTGGTGAAAAACAGTTTGCTATTCCACCACATGACCAAGTTGCAGGGCACAGATCCACTCTTTGCCTCTCTTCTGTATTTTAATATTCAAAGCGTGCAGAATGTGTCATTAGCCTCCCTGTCAAGTCAGTTCAAGGTGTTTTTCAGGGCAAATAAAATAAAAAGCTTTGAAGAAATATTACCAATAATATAGCTTTTTTACATAGTACATTGCGAACATTTTGAAAAAGGTATTTATAAATGTAACAATAAATTGCACATCCTATCTGGTTTGAGGTGTTTGCCCTATAACTCTCCCGCTCGTCATTGCAGTTTGCTCAAACAGAGGGCTATCAACCCACCTCTCTCCGGTTAATCAAGGAGGCTTTGAAGATGAACCCGCCCAACAAGAAACTCCACACTGGCTCCAGATCCCAAAGTGAAGGTAATAAGCCCAGGACACACTGACTGAGGGGGGGGAAGTTAGTGAAATGTTCAGAGACCAATAGTTTGAAAGAAAGTGGTAATGATCGCTTACGCCAGCTCTCTCTATCTCTCTCCTCCTGTCCGCTCAGGAGACCTGTCAGATCGTCCCCCGACCATTCATTCAGGAGAGAGAGAGGAAGAGGACTGGGAGGTGGACTCAACTGAGCCATCGGAGGGGGGCATGACCATGGATGAGCTGAGGGGTCTGGAGTCCGCACTAAGGGCTGAGAGAGGCCGCGAGCAGGCTGCCATGACGGCTTCCCAGCCTGTCAGCCCTGTCTCAGAGGTAGTGCGAGGCAGTGAGGTCAGCATGGTCCCCAAGTACATAGGTCTTGATGGATTGGAGCAGGATGGAGAGCTGGAGCCTCAGCCACCCACCCTGCAGAGAGAGGAGCAGATCGGGCAAGGCAGATTGAAGGATGCCGTGAGGGCTGGAGTGGTTGGGGGAGTGGAGCTGAGGTTAGGCTGGTCGAAGAAGTTGAGAGAGGGCGACTCGGCTGCAGAGGATGTGGTGGAGCTGGGAGAGTCCGAGCACCTGCCCCACCTGTCTGCTCCAGGAAGTGTTGGGGAGAGCGGAGGGGAAGAGGAGGGTGGCGGGGACCTGCTCCACTTTTGCCCACAGTGTGGAGGAGGCTTCACCTCAGAGGCTGAGCTGGAGGAGCACCCCTGTCCACTAGGAGGCTCTCAATTACAGAACAGTGCAGCAGAGGGCAGTCTTTTCCCTTGTGCCCACTGTGGCAACACGTTCAGCCACGCCTGGGCACTTAAGAACCATGAGTGTGCCTGTGCCGCCGAGCGGCCGCACTGCTGTGAAATCTGTGGGAAGCGCTTCACGCACTCGCGCTCACTGGAACGACATCATCTGGTGCACACGGGGGAGAGGCCTCACCGGTGCCCTCAGTGTGGGCGAACCTTCAGTCGGCTAGGCAATTTGGAACGGCACCAGCGGATTCACACAGGTGAACGTCCGTACGGGTGTGAAGCATGCGGAAAACGGTTCAGTCGCGTGGAGTACTTAAAGAGACACCAACTCATACACAACAGTGAAAAGGCGACACTCCAGTGCTCCAACTGTGGAAGTGGCTTTAGTGATGTGGAGCAACTGAAAAACCACCAGTGTTTTTAGAGCCTCTCCTTCAAATCTGTGATAGAACTGGAAAGCAAAAAACAGGTGTTTAATTGAATGTGGTAGAATTTAGGTGACGAATGTGACTGGTACATGCTAATTTTATTCTCAGTGATTTGGTGTTGCTTTTCTTACTCAGTAGTAAATAAAGAAGGCAAATCTCCAAAGTTGACAAGAAGGCAGTCGTACATGGTGTTTCTCCGAGGAGAAATTGAATCAATCTCAGAAGTTCAGCCATTTTAACTTAAGGTGTATTCATTTGTATGTACAAAGCCTGTACTTATTTATGATGATCAATAAACTCTACATTTTTGTCTTTTTATCAATAATTAACTCATGTTAAAGTTGGTGCTGTTGTTTTTTTCCTGACAATATAATTGACAAGTTGGTATTTTGTATATATGTGTTTTGGTCATATTAAGAAATAAATATTTCAATTCATCAGAAGACTCTTTGCCTTTGTCAGTATGTTTTATTGGAAAATCATGGGGTTAGTGAACATGTTATAAGATGACATTGATAAGGGGGGAAAATACAAAATTTGTGAGATCAAATTCTGAAAAATTCATTTCCAACCATCATGAAAGAACAACATTTTGATTAAACATTTATTCACTCATTAAACTGTGAGGGAATCTCTGTAATACTTTGAGTCTGACTAGGAGGGATGTGTTATACTTGGCGACTTCTGGCTACGATAGATTAACCGTGTGCAGGGAAGTTAAGTTACTTCCACAAAGACCAAGAGCTTGTCACCCTTTCTTGCTTACACTGCCCTATAAAAAGACTGACAGGCATTCTCAGCCTTGTTCTCAAAATGCTCTCTAGGGTCTCTAAGGACAGCTGCCTCACATCATAGCCTCTCATGCTGGGGTCTGCTTTTGGATCTATCTGGACAATCTCTTCTCCACTGTTGCGGTCATTTCTTCCCACTGCAGCATATGTGGGGAAAAAGGGCTTCACAGATTTCGGAAGGTTGGATTTGTAGGATGGACAGCAGTAGGCAGACCACATGTACTCAGGAACAGACACCCTGTTATTGATCCAGCGGGTTTCAGACTTATAAGGCATGACTCCGGTGATAACATACATTGGCCCGTTGCAGAAAGCCTTGAACCTCTCCATCACCTCCTTCTCCAGTGGGTTCCAGGTGTCTCTGTTGGAGCCTGCGCGCTGAGGGACAATGTTTGTTAGGGTGAAGGTGGCTTCACGGCCTTCTTTTGTTTTCTGGTGCATGCTGGGATTGAGATGGCCCTTGGTGTAGCTGGAGTTCTTGTAGTCCCAAAGCACTGCCTGGCTCTCAATCACACTCCTGTAGACTGGTTTTGGGGCTGGGAAAGGCTGCATATCAGGGCTGGCTGTATCAAACACCAGCTTAATGTCAGAGAGAGAGAGAAGGAGATGCTGCTTTTTAGAAGCTACATAAAAGCATTTTGCTGCTTAGTGTTGAGCGTAGTTTAATCGGCGTGAGTGTTAGTGTGCTTCTATTGTGTAAACAGGCTTGCGACTGATTCACTTCAGTCATCTAGCTGAAGAAGAGGTAGATAAAATAAAATAAAATAAAAATAAAAACAAAATGGATAAAATGCTCTACTTTATTTCCTCTGTGACTCTGTATGAGAGACGCTGCTTCTGCTTATAGGTAGTGGTAAAAACTGCATTTGAGCAAGTAACACATTGACCACAATGATACTCAGTATTGAACAGGAAATATTAATGTTCTCTCTGGACACACTACAACAGCACCTCTATAGAAGAACAAATGTGAATTCATTAGCTTACCTGTGGTTCATACATCCAAGAGGTTTTGGGCCGTTTGCCATCTGCAGGACTGAGTATGTACCCATCTGCAGGACTGAGCCTTAGGGAGAGAGTTTTGGCAGAGATATTTGGAGTGAGCAGTTATACAGTAAGTCATGTTTTAATCACATGTTCCAATTACTTGTACCTTGTATTGGGATCCGTTCAAATCTAGATGATGCAAGAGCTGGGTGAGATGAACAATGCCTGTGAAATTCCAGCAGTACAGCCTAAATGTGAGGTTCATTGGTGGCTCCACAGAGTTCAGATGCAATTAAGCTCCACTCTGAAATATACATCACATACCCTGTGGTGCAGTCACTTTTACATCCAAATTATTTACTCAATCTCTAACAAGGAGTTGACAAGGCAGTCAGGAATCTGGAGTTACTGGAGCCAGGGGCTGAGGTTATGGCAGACAAGGGCTTCCTCATTGAGATGCTATTGGAAGATCTTGAGGCCAAATTGATCATCACACCTTTCAAGCACCAAAACCAGGAAACTGAGAGGACATATTCAGACTCCATATTCTGGTTTAACGGGCAATTGGATGGATAAAAGAGTACCACATTTGGGATTCACCAGTTCCCCTCCCCTTGGCAATAAATCAGATATGGTCCTGCTGTTGCATAATGGCAAATTACGAGGGTCACTCACTCACTTTACCAGAGGTCAAGTGAGTGAGCACACAACCCGGCCTGCCATTCTAGTTTCTGGTGCAACGAAAATCAGCTTCCTTGTGTCAAGTCAGTCAACATCAGATGCGTCCTCCCCTCATGATAAGCAACTGAATGTACATTTATATGTTTGTATCGATAATGCACTCATGTTAAAATCAATGCCTTTGTTTGCAACATGTAATTGACAGCTTGGTTTTATATGTGGTCAGGTCATTTAAAAAAAAGTAATTTAATCCATCCATTTAATTTTTACGTGATTGGAAACTCCTGTTTTAATATGACATTGACAAGTGAGGAAACATTTTACCAAATCATATTCATCAAAAATAATAATTTCAACACAATCGTGAGACAAGACAGCTGTTAATCTAACACTTTAAACTGTGAGGGTGTTATTAAGACTGAGGAGGACTCTGGTTAAGACGAGACGGGGGGATCTTGTGTACCTGCTAACAAAGAGTGCCTGAGTATAACGGAGGAGACGTATGCAGGTAAACTAACAATATCCAAAGCTCCTCTTTTCAATCTTATGAGAAAGTCATGTGGTTGACATCAGCAGAAGGGAAAATATAAATGCTAACTAACTAACATTTCGTATGAATTGCAATGTCAGTGGAGAATGATACTCATAAAATTATATATTATTTTTATTATATTATTACTTAGTAATCAGGTAAAAATGTTTAGGCTATGTCCTTCATGTGTACATCGCCATATTTATATATCCTATGTGCCTTGCTGCAAAACTGTCAAACTGAATGAAATGCTTTCGGAAGCACTGGTAACTTTTGAAGCTCTAGACATCATTTTGACACAAGCTCCAGCACAAGGTATTGAAACAGCGCGTTTCACAGGGGTGAAACAAGCTTTGGCGCTTCGTCATAATTTGCCCATCTCTAACATTTATTTATTATACTTACTTTTTTTTATATCAACCCCAGGAAGCATTGCTACATTACTAATCATGCAAAGTGGGTCCCAGAAGCTCCAGGCTTACTGCGTATCCACTGATTTGTGCTGATTTGAAAGAAAATTATTTTGAGGATTATGCACCACTAAAACACAGCATCAACTGACAGTGGCAGTAATAAGGGATTTAAACTGGGTCTTCCTTGACACCTTGCTGTCTAGAAAAGGGTCCCTGTGGCAAAAACAAAACCCAAAATACCCCTTTTTTAGGTTTGTACTTAATTGTTGCATATTCCAAAATATATTTTTGTTTATGTAAATCACCACACAGCCAGCCTGGAGCCAGCAGAGAAAAACTGAACACTGCAGAGTGGGATGAAAAAATAGGTACCCATTAGCTCATTTTGCCTTGGGGCACCCCAGCAGGTTAATGCAGCCATATAAGGGAGGGTAGTTGTTGCTAAGGTAACTTAGCAACTAACTAAGGTAATAACTAATTTAAAAAAACAACAAACCACAGTTATTTCTACAAAGTAATGGCTGCCCTTTCTTGTCACACAGTATTTTTGTGGTTTATTCATCCAGTTGGCATTGGACTGTTTTCCATTCACAGGACTGTTTGTGTGTATGCAGAGTACAGAAAATTAAATGTTTGTATTTGTATAATGATTTGTTTCATCTCTCAGTTCAATCTTTTTTTCTCTTTATTAGTGAAACCATGGGGGTAGTTGTTGATCATGAAACAAGATGACATTAACAAGAGGAAAAATATTTATTTTACAAAACCCTAATCATCAGAAAAAAATTATTTCAAGCCATCATGAGATAATTATCATGCCCTGGTTAATCAAACTCTTTTTTTCAGTTTAGTAATTAAAGAGAGGCCGCACACTGAGGTGATGTGTCATACGTGGTGATTACTGCAGTGCACACCAATTACAGTTGACATTTCAACAAGGAAGTAAAGCTTTTCACCTACTGACACTGCCCATGAAACAGACTGATGGGCATGGCCAGCCTTTGTGTCAGGATGCCCTCCAGCGTCTCTAAAGACATCCGCCTCACGTCGTAACCCCTCACCGAGGCTTTAGCCTTGACATTAACCGGCACAATCTCCTCTCCACTGTTGCGGTCATTTCTTCCCACTGCAGCATATGTGGGGAAAAAGGGCTTCACAGATTTAGGAAGGTTGGATTTGTAGGATGGACAGCAGTATGCAGACCACATGTACTCAGGAACAGACACCCTGTTATTGATCCAGCGAGGTTCTGAGTTATAAGGCATGACTCCAGTGATCACATACATCGACCCATTGCAGAACGTCTTGAATTCTGTCAACACTTCATTCTCCAGACCGCTCCAGGGGCCGGAGTTTGAGCCTGCTCGCTGAGGGACAATGTTTGTCAGGGTGAAGGTGGCCTCACGGTCTTCTTTTGTCTTTTGGTGCATACTGGGATTGAGATGGCCTTTGGTGTAGCTGGAGTTCATGTAGTCGTGCAGCACCGCCTGGCTCTCAATCACATTCTGGTCCACGGGGGTTTGGAAATGTTTCATCTCTGAGCTGGCACGGGAAAACGCCAACTTCAAGACAATGAGAGAGAATTACATAGCACATTTTAGAATGAATGGATAAGTCGTTCAGTTTGCAAAATGAAAATGGAACTTATGAAAGGTAATTTTTCCTTCTTTGTCACGTCACTAGGAAACAATGACGTGTGTGACAGAATTTTTGTATTTACAATTTGAGAGAGGGTTCTTGTGCTTCTGCTCAAAGTTATAGGCAAAAACTTCATTATGTCAATCACACACTGATGACAATGACACTTCAATTAAACCAAATGTTCTAGTGTTCCCTGTGAATTTTTGTGTATTTGCAAAAGTTATCATAAAGAGAGCTCTTTAGACTCACTTAACTCTACAATAATACATTGACAGAAACACACCAGTGAATTCACTGAACCAAAGAAAGTGAAGTTCTGTTAACAATAACTAATGAAGAGCTTTCCTTCAATCTGCCCTTATCAAAACACAATCTATATGATCACAGTATACACTCAGTTTTTAGTTGATTGGGTACTATTTTACTACTATAGTAAAACTAATACAGTTTGATACAACAGTGCTGTAATAAACCCTCCCGTCATGGAGCTTTTAATGTTCAGTTTTTGTTGAAAGTGTTTTAGAGAGGTGTTGATTCATCTTTATGATTATTTTGGAGAATGTAGTTTGTGGTGCTGTTGAACTGTATTGCAATATACAGAGAGACATTTCTGTTATTTAGCTTTCCTTCATTGATATAAATGGGGTGGACAAAAAAATAGAAATATACTTGTAAGTATAACACAACAGCATTGCAAACTGCAACCTCCAAAATGATTGCGCCTCTCTAAAATGCAGTTAACGCCCAATAAAGTACAGTTAGTCTTTAAAGAAAATGACTGCTCTTGAGGGTTTTTCCCCATAGACTAGTTTTGGGGCTGGGAAGGGCTGCATATAGGGTCTGGCTTTGTCAGACACCAGCTTAATGACAGAGAATAATAAATCTAAGTGTTTTGCTGCTTATTGTTGAGTTAATTCGATGTGAGTGTTAGTGTGCTTCTGTTGTGTGAACAGGCATGACTGATTCAGTCATTTAGTTGAAGAGGAAATAGTTTGAATAAAATGAAATCAAAATGAAACAAAATAGATTAAATGCTACTTTGTTTTCTGTGACAGCATTTTTCTGTACACAGTCTGAGATACGCTGCTTCTACTTGAAGGTAGTGGTAAAAACTGCATTTGAGCAAGTCACGCAATGATTTGCAGGAAGTGTTCTGTCTCTCACATATCATCACAACCACACAACCCAAAAATAAATTCCCATTAGATCTACATGCAAATGCAGAAATTTCATGTGTCTGTGAGAAATTCTATTTTATGAATTGTATAGACACTTAAATCTACAATAAAAAAAAAACGAGATAGAAGGACAAATGTGAATTTGTTAGCTTACCTGTGGTTCATACATCCAAGAGGTTTTGGGCCGTTTGCCATCTGCAGGACTGAGTATGTACGCAGAGTACAATGGTGCACGATGCTGACGGTGATAAAGGCTGGCAAAGTGGTATTGGTTTTTGTAGCGCTGGCAAATTGGCTGGTATCCTGCTGTTTTGATACCCCTTGGTGGAGTTTTATTATAGAAGAAATCAAGGCACTGAGAGAAGTCACCGCTGATCTCTCCAAGGACCAGGCCACCAAACCAGAGGAGAAGAAGCAGAGCCCCCGTGGAGAAATGCAGCATCTTCCTTTGAGACATCCTGTACAATAGAGCAGGAGGCCAGCTGAATATACGTCTACTGAAAAGAGATGCCAACGATCACAGACTTTGCTGACAGACTTCCTCGCAGACACAGCTCCAGTCTTAAATAAACCCTATATTTCCTTGGTCACCATTCAGCGTCTGGAGTATAGGTGTTTGTGAGCTGTCTCAGAGGTTTCCTCTTCTATATACAGTTTCCTCTTATATATACTGACCCACCCACTACCCTTTTTGCTATCAAAATACCCCATTGACCAGCAGTCAGGCTGCATTCTGGGAAACAATTATCTGGTTCTGCAAATCCTTTTGTCATCAGTCAGCTGAGGTAGAGACCAACTTATTTCAAGTGTTTAATACCTGTATCTTAGTTAGATAGCCTTCAGGTCTTCCAGACACATTCTGACTATATTTATGTTAAAAACAACAAATAATGTGTTGTAAATGCTCCACGCAGTTTCTGGTTGCTGGCTGTTGTAGAAGTTGCTGTTGTCTTGCATCTATCCCCTCCAGGAGCAGTTTTTATAGCTGGAAGGGCTACAGACCTCTTGAGGTGTTCCCTGCAGAGTGTCTGTCCCCAGCGTTCTCCCACCTTGTCTAAAAAGACGAAGCATCAAGGGAGTACCTAGGGAGTAGCATGACGCAGACCTCTGTGTGGATTGCGGTGAGATGCAAACACTCATCTTGATTGTCAGTAGTCTTGCATTTACACAGTACTTGTCTGAAATTGTCTCTGGGACTTATTTAAAGCACCCTCGGATGTTTATTGGCAAAAATGTGTTCATTTGTATAATTACACAAACACAGTCCTCCTCTCTTTGTTTCATTTTCCGTCTCGCTTCAGTTTCTGTGTGGTCTTGTATTTCTTTTGTCATCAAAACTTCCCTGATTGTGGGAACCAGAAGTATTTTCCAGAAGATATAAAAGCACCATACAGAAATTCCATTTTTTCTCAACTTTTATTATCAAACGTCTTTTTTATTTCATTATCTTCGTAAAATTGTCAGTTTCAGACCGTCTGCTCCAATCTGTCTATATTTAGCACATGTGAGATTGTAGAAGGGATGTAAATAAAGGGGAATCCAGATGGATGTACACAAATAAAGATCAGGAGGTAGATTTGCGACCATGATGTACATGGGGTGGGTGGAACTATACCCCATGTACTGATGCTACCAATTAGTCTTATTTTATCGATACTAATGTCAATAGGACAGATACAAAACATTTCAATGTATATATCATGTTCTGGGTTCATGAACACACTTTTTGGTTTCACTCTTTGATGATGTTGTGAGCATGTGCACAGTGGTGAACATGTTAGTTCAAAGAATTTACACAATGAACATTTCTGTTATTAACCATTAAAATCTGTCTTTAACATGTTTTTATGTTATAAAGTAATTAACTTAGAATAGTAAAAAAATAAATGCCTATTGTTTTGCAAATTACTAAGTGGCTATGAAGATGTGATTGGAAGCCTATTAACTATGCATTAAACTAATAAAAAGGGTATTACTTTACCCTATTGATATTGGTGATTCTGGCCCTGCATAAAGCATACAAATACAATACAAAAATTATGAGCAGTCCTTGAACATTTGATTCAATTTGTTGGCAGGATTTAATTAGGGATAAAGGTGAGGTGTGGGTGGTGGATTGTTTATTAAAGCCATCTAGTGAGCATTCAGAGACATGACACTTATCAGCAGCTTGACTATCCAAGACACAGAAACACAGTCAGGTTAGTCAAACTGGTCAGAGGTTGAGTAATAACGCTGCATTTACAGTCACTGGCGATGTATCGTAACCTGTGAATGACCAGGACTGACCATAGTTTCGGTTTCCACATAGAGGAAAGCTGCTGAGCCTTATTTAGGGACAGTATGAAAATGATTACAGTGGGGAGTCAGCAAAAACAAACCTTGCAATATTCTCCCCCTTTTCATCCCTTTACTGACTTGTGCTGTGTCAGTTAGTATAACTTCTTCCTTGTTTTCTGTTTCTGACTCAGAGGAGGTAGGGTGTGGACACCTAGCTCACTTACCTGTTGAAATAAGTTTTTAAACTGCAGCTTCACTCTTAAACAAAATTAAAGAGCCCTTCAAGCCCTAATGCTCTATATGAGAGATATGTTCAATTAGTACAGTTTATTAGGTATCAGGTGAGTATGTGGCACCTGCTATTAGCAAATCCATAAGTTTGTCTTAGTCTATAATGTTAATTCTAAGTTTTACTAAACTAGTGAGTTATCAGGCACATTAATAACAAAGTGCTTGACGATAAAAACAAATAAGGCAACATATATACAGTACATACACACACCCAGATGTGTAAATACCTAGTGTATTGTAAATGCCTAGCCCTATAACTTCTAAAAATAATGGTTGAGTGATATATTAAACTAACTGCAAGTCTTTTATACGAGTCATTATATGTGGCGTTAATTATACATGGTTAAATCTTGAGAAATACTACATTTCACAGTTTGTAGTAGCTATTAATGCAGTTTAGACTCAGATAGTGTTAGCCTACTATGCTAACCTAACCAACATTATTTGGTAATTTAGTGTAACATTATTGTTTTAAAGTTACATTGTGTTATTGTAAAACATTATTTAAAATCTTCCATCATCAGGAAACACCATGATACATTTAATTAATTAACCCCATAACTCATATCTTCTTATACAGTAGGCTACATTAACTAGCAAGCTAGTTTGTCAGTCGGTTGGGTCAGCTACACAACAGTTAGCATTAGCTTACACAACATAAAGAACTGGGTTTGGTGAACCGGTATATTACAACTAGGCTAAGTTTTAATGTACAGTATGAACAGCTGGTGCAATTAAAGCCCTGATTTCCACTGCTACATAATGTGGAAGTATAAAGAAACACAATTTCCTTGTAATAATTTCCTTATTATTCATTTTCTTTTCTTTTTAGCACTTTAATGTATCCTCCAATGGATTATTTGACCTTTGACCTTCTGGAAGTACCTCTGAATATATTGATATTTAACAACGTATTAGCATTACAAACATCAACATTGGATTATTGTAAGAAACCTAATGCGTTTTAACAATTAGACTTATTAACTATTGCTGCTTGTCATAAGTGAGAAACCACTGACCCTTGGTGATTCCTTAATATGATAACTGCAGTCTTGATATGTATTATTATTAATAATGACTGTTAATTACTTGGTAATGGCTTGGAGAGACTTTTCACAACCTAGTAAGTTGCCCTCTGTCTTTGCCGTGCCTGAAAACATTTGCTCTGCCTTCTTTTATTCAGTCTCTGCCTTCAGCTTCAGACCACTCCCTCTCTGTGCACGGAAGAGAGGTCTTCTCTTCTTTACGCGTCACAGTGTTGCCTTCATACTTTTCTCTTCAGGACGATGTGCGCAGCCGAGAATGGAGGACGCCAACGCGCTTGAAGAACTCCAGTCGGAGCTCACCTGTCCTGTGTGTCTGGAGCTTTTCCGTGATCCGGTGATCCTCGAGTGCGGACACCACTTCTGCCAGGTGTGCATAATCCAGTGCTGGGAAGCCAAGGCGGACGAGTTGTCGAGTTGTCCAAAGTGTAGGAAGTCGTGCGGCCGTAAACTGCGACCCAACTCGCTTCTGTGCAACGTCGTGGATAGTGTACGGAGAGCCCGTGCCACGGACACGGCCTCCGGGGTAACCGGATGGGACCCGGAAGGTGCGCTGGAGGAACCGGAGGAACGGGAGCTTGGCTCCAGCATGAGCAGCGTAGCCTCGTCCACCGGGCAGTGGCCGCGCCTGAGTATGGATATGTGCGAGGAGCATGAGGAGAAGCTGAAGCTTTACTGTGAGGACGACCAGATTCCCATTTGTCTGGTGTGCGGGATGTCCCGGGACCACAAGACCCATAATGTCATCCCCATTACCGAGGCTTTTGAAAACTACAAGGTACCCTCCCATCGGCTGAGTTCAGACACGTTTCTTTATGATAAACCTCAATCTTTTTTAGGCTCAAAGTATGGCTAAATCTCACCCTAAAACCAATACAGAGCACTTTCTGAGATGGAGAACTTGGTGACTGTCCTGACATCATTATTTGGTCAGTGTCATTAAATAATACCTGGAGCTACAAGATAAACTTTAGTTTTAGGGAGTGCCATGCTCCACCATGCACATTTTACACTCCTCTCAGTGTTCTTGGAAGGTAACATGTCTCAAGTTTGAAAATCTTCCTAAATGTCAAATGAAACCTATTTTTTATTATATAAACATAACTGCTCTGACATCAGCAAATAGGGCTTTCACGGAGCAGATGTTGTGACATGGCAGTTGTTTTTCAAAGCAACCAGTTTTCCCTAGCAGCCTTTGGGCACTTTGTGTTTTACAGGAATTCAGCGCACCACTGTGAGCTCTTGTGAACTCCCCTACGCTCTAAACCTCGCAGCTGACCTTCATCAGTTTGTTCAGAGACTCACTGTGAGAGGCCTCTCAGTGTGTTTTAACATGTTTTGTTGAATTTTGTTTGAATTTGTGGCTCACAGCGTTCAGTTGTGGGAAGGGCGGGTGTCATATGACTCCCATTTAAGATGTTTTTGTTCAGAGCAAAGCACCAATCAAATTAACTCTCAGTTTTCGAGTAATCTTGTTTAGCGACACCATTTCTTAACCATGTGTTGCACATTATGGGCTATTTCTGCTGCTTATACCAACAGGATAAGCTGTCTGTCGCTCTAGAGAGGGTTCAGCTGCAGACAGACAAGGCCACGCTTTTCCAAAGACAGACCAATGAAAAGATCCTCTTCATGAAGGTATGAAGATGTGTGTGTGTGTGTGTGTGTGTTGTGAAGCAGTGTGAAAGGACTAAGATGTCCTGAACTGTGTGTGAGTGTGTGTTTTGAATAGAACCTGAATCTCTGCTAGCTAAGCAATAATCACCTGCATTTCCCCACCTTTACCTGTCTGACGGATGTGAATAAGGGCTGACTCATCCTCATTATGACTTGTGGGGACATAACAGGTCGTTATTCAGCATCGACGTGATGATTCTCATGTTTTGCAAATGCACATGTGGTTCCTGAAATGAATTAGGTGGCAAACAAACATCTATACACATCATGTCATGGTTGCCTTCCTCACGCTCTCGGAGAGCGTGCACGCGCACACACAGCATGTAAAAGTGCACAGTAATTTGCATGT